CACCAGTGTAAATTACACGAGAGACGTCGCCAAAGCTTACGCCACTTTACACTTTATGCATAGGCAGCTGGGAGCTATTACTCCTGAACTATTCCTAACGTCGTATACGACATACGTGAGGCCACTCCTTGAGGTGCATAATATCATTGCTCCTCCGCTACTCAAAAGGGATGCTAACATGCTAGAAAGTGTCCAGAGACGAGCGACAAAATGGGTGATCGGCCTCCGCAACAAATCATATGAGGAAAGACTGAAGAAATTAAGTCTTTTCACACTTAGTTACCGTAGTCACAGGGGAGACCTCATCACCATCTATAAGATCTTAAATGACCAGGCCACCCTAATAAGAGCATCCACGAGGTAACCCGCTAAGGATAGTACACCAGAGACCAAGGACTCGAGGGCGTTCACATTTCTTCTCGCTTCGAGTTTGCCGTCTCTGGAACGCTTTACCGGCGGCCGTAACTACAGCTCCATCATGCAGAAATGCATGGTTTGTGTCTCAATGGCTTACCCTCTTAAAATTTGAAACCACATTGTCAATGGATAAGCATACAAGCTAAATCCCCACGACCCGTCCTATCTTCTCCCACTGTACCGACTACTCTATCTTTTCCTTCTTTCTTTATAATTTCACCTTTATTATTTCACTTATCTCAACCTATATTATCTACACTACAACCTATTATTATTACTATTCTACTTTTATGACTATACCGAATGACCAGCGGGTGTTAGGTCAAACCCCATTCACGGTAGCAGCTGAGTCCTAACATACTGCACACTACAAACCACAATCTTGACCAATCCTCGCACCACTCCTCTTGGAGTCTACCAGAGCTAAAGCAGTCGAGTGGCAGGATTTACTACGCATAAGTTCACCGAAGATCTGGAACCTCTACCTTACAATCAAGAAGCGAGCTCAAAGAAATCACTGGTTTATACTAGCTCGTAATCAGGATATTGGATATTGGATCGAGAAAAGCCGCTGGGTTCTTAGTGTATCGGTACGGTGGCAGATTTAATGTGATTGTAAGTTTCTGTTGTTAGTTTGTACATATTTTCTGAAGTACTGCCGATAGACAACATGTAAATAACCATTGTTTGGCATTGTTACACTATCATATCCAAAGCAACAGTGACCGTGAACAACCGATCAGAATTCAGATGCAAAAAGTCCCATGACCTGTTGAAAATGCATTGAAAAAACATTGCAAACATGATATTACGCTACTAAGTTGTTGCTTGTGTGTTATGAGAATGTCTCCTAGTCAAAACACAGAAGGCCTTTAAAGGAATCATACCATGCGCGATAGATGCATTCATCCAGGTGACTTTAGGTCATGGTACTTTGAAATCTATTGATATTTTCGACACTATTCCTTAACCTATTCCTACTTTTCACTACAATTCTAACTGTTGATCCTAACTTTAACCATAATCCTGACCTTAACTCCCCAAGCTTACCATAATGCTGAATTAGATCTCACTAATTCTGAAATAATTCTAATATTCTGTATTGAGTAAATTCTGAATCCGTTCTGAAATGGATTCTTTAATGGCACAGACTAGAACTCTGCTGGTTTTCAGCATCACTGGCGATAATTCAGCACCGTGTTCTTTTCCTAGACATTTTCAGGAGTAGATCAGAACCTACTGGGTTTGCTTATCAGCGTTATTCCAGCCATCACAGGACGTATTAAGCACTGAATAGCGTTACTTCAGAACGAAAAGACTTAATTCAGCATCCAGCTTTCTTTTTAAGCGCGACCAGCGTTATTTCAGAACACAGTGGGTAGATAAAAAGGCATTATCAAAGAATAGGTTAGAATAAGTTCAGAATTGTTGTAAGCTTGTGTCCAGATCCTAAACCTTAATTTAGAAAGCCATAACCTTACCTTTTGTTCTGAAGTATGCTAGTCAGTACTCAATATGAACTGAGAGGGCTGAAACAACGCTTGTAAGAAAACCCAGTAGATTCTGTTCTACTTCTGAAAGCGCTTAGGAAAAGCACAGTGTACTGAACTAGTGCCAGTCATGCTGATAACCAGCACTGTGTTCTGGTATGCGCTTAATCAAACCATTTCAGAATATATTCAATATAGAATGCTAGAGTTAGTTCAGAATTAGGGACATTAATTCAGCATTACTGAAAAAGTACCCAGAGATTAAGTGGGATGCTGTATTTACATCTCCAAGTGCAAAAAGACAGTCACGATTTGATTCGGGGTAATCATTCATAGCATTACCTTTATCTGGTTGGTTCGTGAAGGTCAACTTTTGAGAGACCGTGACTTTGGCTGTTATACTGTAACTTAGCCCACCGTTTTAGAGTGGGGAATTTACCACCTAATTTTGCTGTTTTCGGTCATTCTATTCGCTGTAAAAATGCGGCAGATTCAAGTAGTTGCTCAAAATATCTAAATTGCGCTAAATAGGGCATTTGTGATTTGCAGGTTATTTAAACGTGTAAATGGACATTATATCAGTTTGGTTTTTTAGCAATTCCCTATTTGGATTCTATTTTACCGTATGAAACAGACTATGCTGACGGTAAATCAAATTGTAGCAGTAACAAAAATTTGCTGACTAGTATGTGAATTCCATATCGCGGGTGACTTCTGACTACAACATTGGTCTTGATGTTATGTGCACATTTATAACATTTTACTCGGTCTCGGGTGGATACTGATCTTTACTTGTTGGCCGCTCACGTTTTTCCCCCGGGTGGATTCTTTTCATTGACCGCTGCACATTAATTGCGCATACAGAAATCGCATTATATAAAGCAACTAAACAGTTGAGATTTATGTGTGCACTTGAGATTTTTTATGTTGTTTGCAATTATTTTTTGAAAAGTACTGGTGTGCTCACAGAATCAATCAGTTGAGCTGATTTGGATTAAATTGCTACTGTGTGCACCATCATGGGACAGAGCGAAAAATGTCTACCTCAACTCCAAGTTTGAGAAATCCTTCCACAGCGTTGGGGGCGAAGTAATTCGGAAGTTACTTCAACACTGTGGACTGCTCCAAATTTTTATCAACTTCATTCAACAATCATATGATGATGATACCACATATCAAGTGATCCACAACGGAAAACTCAGCGACGCCTTTGAATTGAGGACAGGGATAAGAAAAGACTGTCTACTATCGCCGATGATATTCATAATTATGGTGGACTAGGTTATATGGGAGACCGTGGGAAGCAAGCATACAGGAATATGTTAGACCAACAAGGAGACTCTAGATCTCAACTACATAGAAGACTTGTGTCTAGTTTCACACAATCTCGAAGATCTACAGACAAAAACCAACAATTTGGTAAAAGAGGGAGCGAAGACAGGAATTCAAGGGAACATAGAGATGGAAGTGATGAAAATAATCAACTAACGGCAAAAAGCTACAATCACTATCGGCGGAAGAATTTTGAAATACATTACTTCCTTCACGTATCTAAATGGCGTCGTTTCAACTACAGGTGACGGCACGAATGAGGATGTCAGAACCAGGATTGCTAGAACAAGTCGGACCTACACTATTCTGAAAGCAGTGAAAGCCTATGGGCAATCATTCAGCTACCTAAAGAAGACTGCAGGATATGGGAAGGAATGTGGATGTGCCGCTGAAGCCTTATTTTCCACTCAAAACACAAGGGAATAAAAATATAATGAATGACTATGATTATTAAGTAAAGATCGATCAGCATGTATGGGAACGCAGGTGTAAAGGCATTGAAGTCATCTGGTATAACAATGTTGGCTATAGAATGCAGAGGTTTACTCACTGAATCTAGAAACCTCTATGGATATCGTGATAAGGTACAGTGTGAAATTCCAGTGGTGGTTCAGAATCTTGACTCGTTCCATATGGCATTTCCTACAGGCCGCTACAAACTCATTAACAACTGCCTTTGTTAGCTCCTTAGTGAAGATCAGATGGCAGGAAAGAAGTAGCTGCAAGAAACCTTGAGAACGAACCAACCAAGAACCTGTTGGTCAACAAATATCCTGGAGAAAATGGAGTTGGATGTGACACATGCTAAGGAGATAGTCGAATGACATATTTTCGATTGGCACGCGAATGGGAAACGAGTTGTGCGTCTCGTGATTTGGAGGACATAATGCGAGGAGGAAATAGATTACTGGCAATCATGGGGTCAGCTATAGAGAACTGCAGAGAACAGGACAAAACAGAGATGTTCTGTTAAAGCCGTATGTTCCTCTCAGAACTCAAGAGAATAATGACAATAGTAAACATTCAATACCGGCTTACTCTAAGTAACTGTCAGTGCAGATATGACATTAGTAATGGCTGCAAGTGTACGACTGGAGAATTTGGTTCGTAATATCCAAAGGAGCATCAGTCGTATTGAAATCACTGATAGTCGCCGAGTAGTCTGGTGAATAACGCCTTAACGTTTGATGCAATGGGTACTGAGTTCGAGTCTCAGTCTTGGAAATCACTTCCCAGGACTCAAGTACGTCCGTCTAGCGAGTCCTAGATTCCATTGTTATATGGCCCACTGGCCTAGTGAATACTGCTGTAGAGATGTATCTCATTGACCTCAGCATTCACTTTCCAGTTTGTGAGACAGCGGTTCTAATTCAACCCCACCTGCTTCAGCCTAGGCATTGGGCAGTATTATCAGCTCATAGCTTGGAATACCAATGACACTTTACGGCAACTGAATTCAACAAGTTACTGATAATTTCTGGATGTATATCAGTTTAACGTGTCAATTGCTTCCAACTACTTTACATTAAAATTAATATCAGTTTTCTAATAATGTATATAAAATTTGACCACGATTCAACCCAAAGGTTTCACAAACATTGGTTGCTTAATAGAAGGTAAATGTTTGTAAAAATTTTGTATATAAGTTTTACATGTTCTAGTTTCTTAACATTTGAAATATTCGGATTGTAGTTACGTTATTTACTGTTATATTAATCCACTCAGAATATTTTTTGTTTCTTTCCCCATTCAGTTCCATCAATGAGTGAATATATTCGAAGTCCTTTAATAAGGATTATGTATGAAAAGTTGGAACATCAGAATAAACACTTGAACTCAGACCATAATCATGTAGTTATTTGAAATAGTTTATAAATATTGTCGTTTTTTGTTCATTCAGTGGTATGAATACCATCCTGAATATATGGAAAATGAATTTCGGGATAAGTTTATTAAGTGCAAACAAGATGAAGAGACTAGTGCTTTTTTGGAAAATTGTTTCGTCAAGTCGGATTGGTTGTTAACACACTTTTGCCATGCCATTGCAAAGGCTGTGTTGACATGGTTCATGACATCGACTTCAATAAATGGGTAATTTATTCTCACTATTTTCCCTGCTTAGTTGTATTCTGTTATTATAAATTATAGACATAAATGTAACTCAGTTACAGGTGTCTAATATCTGATAATATAACGTATAGATTTTTAAAATTATGATTCCTGGTGACTGAATATTGGTGGAAAAAGCATGTAGTGAGTTGTTAGGATGCTCAGCATGTAAATCAGTGAATATTAGTAAAACCTTCATTCAGGAGATTTACAGTGCTTCTTCGTTTTTCTGTGGTAATAATAGAATATCGTGTTTGGTATGTTAAACATAACAAACGACAGTGACTTATAGTGAGTTTCCTTGACTTTTATATTCCTTGTTTTAGAATACGTTATGCTCATTGTCGATGTAGTGCAACTCAGCACTACCCAACAAATCATACTAATTGGTGAGGAAAAGTTTCCGTGGTTCGCTGCTTAAAAGTCAAGTACCTATTTCTATCACTTGCAAACGCCAAAATTCCATTTATTTTGGAATTTGTAGGAAGCAGTACACAGTATGATACCATGGTACATTAAGTTAGTGTTTATCCCAGTATTTCAACTCATTTGTAAGAAATTTGGAGTTTATATCGTGGAAAGCTCTTAGACATTTCTGAAAGCTAGTGGTAGTCGTACTCTTATTTTAGTTTTCTTGCCTTGCCGGCTTGTTTGTCTGAAATCCTGGGTTTTTCTCCTTCAGTTTTATACAATGTTATCTTTTTGTTATATGTATTAGCAGTTAGAATCATCCCGTAGCACTTTTTCTTGTTCAAAACAGTAGAGTAGTTTGAAATGTGATTTTAGTGGCATCATTAGCATTGTATATGCATACTTTCACTAAACATCACACTACTGATGTTCCTAAGGCAATTTTACATTTACTTTTCATTGTTTCACTTGTGGATTTTCTAGTTTACTTGGTCGTGGTTCCATGTTTGTCTTTTCATCAGCACAGTTTCTTCGTTTGTTAAACGTTAATGGCAATTTCAAATTTGATTATCTGCTTGACTTAGGTAGGTAATGGTATTATTTATTATATGGAGGTTGAATACTGTACTTATTACAAGTTTAGTTTATACGAATGGAGAGATTTTCATACACCATCAAGTAACTAATGTATAACCTATCTCGAAACAATTGCGCAAATAATACTGAGAGTCATGATAGAATATCCTGTTTCCTTCTAAAAGTATTTGGCATTCAAAGGAAACAATACTCCTAGTTGTTTCCCAGTAAATTTTTTTTGTTAAGCAGCTTGTTGTCTGTGAAGTTAAATTTGGAGCTAAATGTTCTGCTTCTACTTGAAATAAGAATTTACTACATTCAGTGGTCAAATTACAAGTCATTAAAATTAAACTATTACTAGAATCAAGCTGTGGTTTCGCAATACACTGTCTTAGATAAGCATGCCACGACTTATCTCGGTTGTTTTTATTGATATAATCAAATTGTAATATGTTATGTGTTTTCAGTCAGCAGTGGGATTAAGTAAGCAATCATTAGTTAGACATTGGGCAGTTTTAAATTGGTAGCTGCAGTCAACAGCAGTACATACAATACTAACTGGCACTAAGTGTGTGATTATGAATTCCAATACTGGTCTTGTGTCACTTGTCTACTTCATGCTCAAATCAGCGGTGGGGATGTGGTTCGTTGACCTTCAACAAATGTGTCCAGGGCTCGAATCCCGCAGCATCTTCATTTTGGGAAACTGAATAGTATCATTGGCTCTCATGCAGTAATTGTTTGACTCCACTGGCTGCATAAAAAACCTGTTCTGAGTGACGGAGTTCTGGTAAACATTTGCTGCTACTGAACGGTAACAAATAATATACTTTTTAAATATCATATCTTTCCAAATTTTGCTGGAGGTGCCTCATTGCTTCATTTCCTGATGTCCAGTCTCTGTGTAACGATCGTTTGTACAGTAAATATAGATTCTCGATATTTGACAAAATTTGATTTCGAGGAAAATCAACTCTTTGGTATACCATTTAAGATTATGTGGACCAGCAGTTTTACAGTTTCGCCATTCAAATAGTACCTCCTATAACGCCTTTATTCTTAGGGATCTCAGAAGTTGCCGAGTTTAAGGGAATACCTCAAATGATTATTATTATTAAACGAAATAATTCTGTGCAAAGTTCTATGTTAAAACTCAGTCAGCCACTCAAATTGTCACTATTACTACCTAAAATACACTTGTTTGAGAAACTTTATTGTTTCCTCTTGATCATTCCTGAGATTTAGTTACAAACGTTAGTTTCCTGGTGCTTTAGTTACTGTTCGAGTTCGACTTTTCATTCACAGCTTTTGACATCAATTTAGGCGTTTTCCTAATGACAGTCTCAAGGTAATATTATTGTGATGAATTAGAATCTTGTATGATGTAGTATTAGATATTTGTAGCTTGCATTTCGGACTCAAGTGTTTCTGAATAAAGACTACAATATTAGTCTGTGTAATCTTTAGTACTGCTTCACAAAGAAGAAATCGTGAGAGCTGATACAACTATGAGGTAGAATTCTTCTGAATTTATCAGTTAGAAGAGCCTTTCATCAGTGTCTCACTCCTTGCACTTATAATTTCTTTTTTTATCACAGGAGCCGGTGATGGCAATGTTACAATGAAAATGGCCCCCTTCTTTAATAACGTTTATGTAACAGAAATATCCCCAGTAATGCGTTGGCGTTTAAGTAAACATGGTTTCACGTAAGTTGACTTCTTATGAACCCATTTATGGTAAACTCTTCGTTGTCAATAAAAAACCTAACATTCTTGTATGATGCTCCCAGTTATCAAACTTCATTTGTGCCTGTCACATTGAGTAAATTAAGATGAAATAAGATTTGAAAAAATTGAGTCATGAATAAAGACAAAAGAAGACCATAAAGCAAACGAATAAGTGTAATATTATAATTAGGATGAAGAGCGATCGCATCTGTACCAATGCAGTCGTCTACATACCATAGACTGCCTCTTGAACCTCAACCAGGTGACCCAAATATTCGTACGCACAGACTAAGAGTCAATATTTTCATCGCCTGAGATCATGCCATGTTCTAACCTTCAGTTCCTTCAACATATAAGCCTGCTTCTGCTAACACATAACATATTGGGGTAGACAGTGAATAGGCATACATAACATGTATTCTAACCAACTTAAACTCAGAACCCATATCGTTATTGTATAGCTTATGTCTGTAGCTTAGAACTTTACACCCCACTTTTTAAACATCGAACATGATGTTTAGATTAAAGCAATCAGTATTATTAATTATATTTCTCTCTGTTATGAAGACGTGTGCTCATTCTATGTTGTTTTTGGTACTCATTGTATAAATATTTCTTTTTTATCTGTAGAGTGTTAGATGTTGACTCGTGGGATTTTCCAAATAAAGAATGGAATACACAGAAAGTCCCATCTCATTTCGATGTTATAAGTTGCTTAAACTTATTAGACCGGTGTATAGCTCCCATAACCCTTCTAAAGCGCATTAGTCGAGCATTAAAACCAATAACAGGAGTTTTAATTCTCGGCATAGTTCTACCATTAAAGCAGTATGTTGAAAGTAAGTGTTTACAGTTTTTTTATTGAAGTGTTTGTGTAAGTGTATACATTACAGTAGTAAATTCTCCATATTTTCACTAATTATTTTCCTAGTACTTTTTCTTGATACTCTGGGATTCGGTCTTTCATCTAAGGTTTTCTTATCGAGACTCTGTTGGACAAAACCGTCCAGTGTCTGGGTATTTTAGACTCATTGATGGGTCGTATTAATGTCTGCTTTGCATTTTGCGGCCTATGTGTATATTATTATTCCCTTGAGTTTCGAGTGGAACACTGGGCTTCAGCAACAAATCTCTTCAGCTAGTTCCTCGATTGCCCATAATATGTCATCTTCTCCTCAAGCGATCTCCATGTCACCCTCGCACCGATGACCCACTCGTCACTTCCCATTTGGATTCCAGTCGAGGGCCTGGCGCGTGGTGTCATTCGACGGTTTCCTCAACGTATGCCCGATCCATCTCCATTTTCTCCTTAATAGTTTGTTTATTTGATATATCACACAGTGAAACAGTATTATTTACTGGATGACGTTTCGAACAAAATTTATTGTTCATAATCATATCAATTGTGATATTATGATATGATATTATTGTGATATTATGATATTGATATGATTGTGAACAATAAATTTTGTTCGAAACGTCATCCAGTAAATAATACTGTTTCACTGTGTGATATATCAAATAAACAAACTAATATGGAATTACTTACTACCACAGTGCCCAAGTTTTACACATATCCATTTTCTCCTACATACTTGTTGAGCGATCGGCTCTTGGCTAGTTGGTTCCCATAGTTTCTTGTTATTTATTCTTTCTGGCCATTTGATCTTCAGTATGCAGCCAACGAAGGCATCTGTTGATAAAATCCTGCAACTTGTTGAAAATCCTTTTTGTGAAACTCTGGCCAAGTTTCTGACCCGCATGGGAGCACTAACTGACTGACTTGACATTGGTGTTGAAAATCCGAATCTTGTTCCTTATGCTGAGTGCAGGAGACTTCGAAACTGGTTTCAGGTTGATGAATGCGTATCTTGCCTTTCCGATTCTGACTTTGACATCTTCATCCGTTCCCACTGCCTGTAGTTGAAACGATGCTTCCTGTCTGGATAAGTGAAGGAGGTAACCTGTGTTAAATATCTCCCGTTGATGGTGATGGTGCTGGTTGTTGTTGCTATTGGTTGTTTGGTTAGTTATCTTCGAGTTTGTGTGGCATTAGACATATACCATCTGCAAAATCCAGATCTTCTAGAGTCTTCTTATCCGTGGTCCAGCGTACTCCTTTCTCCTAGCTCCCAACGCACAGTGTTATGCTTAATCCAGTCCACCATAATTAAGAATATCACCGGTGATAATAGGCAGTCCTCTCTTACTCCTGTATTCACTTCGAACGCCTCGCCGAGTTTCCCGTTGTGGATGACCTAACACAGGGCATTGTCATATGGCTCTTGAATGCGGTGTGCAGTAAAAATTGTTTATGATTAGCATTACATTGACTCGGGGACTTGCTATTTGTTTTTGTTAGTGACCGATGGTATAATGTATCAGAGGGAATGTTAGCTGATATAGGATTAGTTTGACAAAGAGTAACCAGACAGAGATATCACACTGATCCATGAAGTGTGTGACTGTTGGTTTGTGCCACGTGGAAAGGTCTTTGAGGTCTTCGAGATGTTGGGTTGGTAACGTAACTTGAAGTCGTTTACAGTGATGTATGTGTACTCTCTCCTTGTTATCAGAAAGGCTGTAAATGTCCTCACTTATATATATGTGATTATTCTCCCATCCATATTTATATTTTTCCTCTGTAGTTTCACCACAGTTCTTTTCTCTATCAATCATGTATACTTCTTTGAAGCATAGCATCTCTGAGTGATTCACTTCTGTGAAAAGTTCCATGTCAATGAGTCAAACCATTTCCCATGTCAGGAATCTTATATACGTTAGTGAGTGGTGATTCTCATTTACTGTGCAGTTGATACCATAAAATCTTTCCTCGCTTTCTCTTTTAGTCATCATCATATGTAATTATTGTAAATGTTTGTGTATTTACACAATATGGTAGGCGGTTTGATATTTTTTGCATTTGGAAGACATCGGAAGAATATCAAGAATTATCTACTGTTGTGTTTCATTTCAAGTAAAAAATTTTGTAACTTATCATTAAGAAAGAGAAATGATTCTTTGATCACTAAATATACGACCGATATATCCCACAGGTTTTCACTGTTGATCCGAAGTACATTTATCAAGTTTTCAATTTTGTCATTAAGCTATGATGCATTGTAATTGAATACCAGACGTTTGGGTGTCAGGGGACAACTTGTACTGAGTTTAAATTTCATATCTGTTGGTCGTCATCAGTTAGAAGTCTATTCTGATTTCATTGGATTTGTTTTCCTTCGGAGCTGCCTATACACACACACACACATCATTTTGTGTATATAAAAGATTCTGTCATATTCACATCTAGTAGAAGCTAACACTTTACTACGAAATTGCACAGGATCCTTGTCAGTAATGTGAATGCACCTACTTTTTCTTTTCTCTGAGATTCAATAATTTCCCATAATTCTCCATGTACTTATTCTTTCTCTCGCAAATTTCTGTGTATTTATTCATTCCTCCCTTTATGTGTCATTTTTCTAAGTGTGGCAGATTAGATTGTTGTACTTTTGTGCAATGTTCTGCGTTAAGAATTCGATGATGTTCCCACTAGATAATTTCATATTTTATATTTTTTAGCTACCACAGATAAGCGACCGAATGAATTACTTGGAATAACTGATAGTGATCAGTGGGAAGTACAATTGTCTAGTTTAATTAAAAATATTCTTATCCCAGCTAACTATGAAGTAATACGTTGGACACGTTTGCCATATCTATGTGAAGGTGATTTTTCTAGATCATTTTATTCTTTAAATGATATTGTATTGGTTTTAAGAAATTCAATTACTGAATAGGAATAGTAATAATAACAGTGGTAGTAATTAATAAGTAAAGAAGAAAAAAAGAATAGATCACAGCAGTATTTATGCAGTCTTATCTCATAATTAATTTTAATAACTCAATTCTCTTCAGCACTGAATGAATCAGGTTTCATGGATTCCCTTTTTCCTTCTCTTTTCATCTGTGATATCTTCATGGTTTCTTTTCGATAATTCCAAATGGACTTCAGTTCTGTCAGTATTTTAATTTTTCTTTTCCTTTGGGAAAACCACTGTTTTTATTCGGTATGACAAATCTGTTGTTATCACTGCTGAAACACTTCAGGTGTTTACTTTTCATACCTGTTATTAATTTTGTATAGTCGCTATTTGGGAAAATTTGGGTGTACAATGTAAAGTTGGTCAGTTGTATTCGTATGTTAAAAAATACAATGAAGTTACAGTTAACTTGATGTTTTGAATCTCTAGTGGTATTTCACCTTTATAGGATGCTGGGTCCTATGCTTCTGCGAAGGCTAAATGATGCTCGAAAAAAACAGCCGGACTGTATGGCTGGAAGGAGGAGGGTATATAGATGTCTTCATCCAACGAGGCTCTGTAGAAAACACGTATACCAGCCGGTATTCAACATGTGCCAGATTTCTTGACCTGAAAGTGGAATTTCATTTTGTTGGCCTAGAAATACTATTTTAATTAGTGTTTGACTGTAAAGATTGTACATTATACCAATAACTGCATTTTACGTAAAATCGTGCAGCCGCATAGAAATCTATGAAGAGTTGTCATCTCTGAAGTGAAGAAAGCTAGTAGTGTCTATCTGCAATAATCAATGTTACCACTGCATTTCATTATAGATATGCTGACAGACGTGACTATGTCCGACTTCGATGTGCAAAAGACTGACTTGTTACTCATTTGTCTAAAGTTAGAAGATGATCTAGTCTTTCTAAATGAAGGCACTGACAAAATGCAGTTCTCCGAATACTAAGCGCAAATCTTCGTATGTTTGGCTTGCTACTTTTCTCTGTCAAATGTAAGATAATGATCCTGCACAACTGATCTGCGCCAACTCCTATTTTGAGGATACAGAATGATATCGTTGGGCGTGTTGACCACTTAACTTATTTAAGAAGTTGATTTAGCCGTAATTGACTATTTTTGCTGGCTAAATCTCAGCACATATATTGGTATTCTCTAACATGTATTATCTTTTGAGTAGGCGTGATATCCGTATATCTAATGGCTGATTTATTCTTTCAATTGTGAGATTTGGTCGTTGGAAGTGGAAGATAGAATTAGCTCGCCATTCTTGAAAATATCTGTGTTCAGTCACTCGAATTAGGTGGAGGGCAGTATGCTAAGTATACACAGTTAAGGGTTTTTCTTTTATAGAGCAAGAGTTTCCACTGTGGATCGAAAATGTAGCTAGAATTTCATGCATTCAAATAAGGCGATTAGAAATTAGATATAAAGGTCTAACGGATTTACCAATGTAGACAGATGAAATGTTAACATATTTTAAAACTAAATAACTGATTAGGTCACTGAAATTCACCACGGTAGAGAAAAAATTGCACGTATTTCATGCCGAATCCATATTCATTCGTAAAATCTTGACAGTTTAGTACAAAGAAAATCCAGCTTAGATTTCGGTTAGTGTTCTGAATAGAACGAAATTTATGCAAAACTGAATCGCATCTGTGATGCTTTTGTGTGGAAAAACCATGCGATTCTAATACTAATTGGAACAATCAACTACTATTGGTTCATTCTATTTTAATCAGTAGCATACTGATAATACTGATTACGTGAGTATGGAGAAAGTGAACTTTAGTGAAATTCTAAATCTTTATTTCGAAGATAAAACAAAATGTAAAGTATTACTTTTAAGATGCTTTATTTCATAGAACAAGTGATAAAATATTATAAAGATGTGCCCATTACAAACCAAAATGGAATGCATAACTATCTATTATTTGTAGGTTTGTTTCGTAATGCGGAAAAAGCATTGGATTGACAGCTGATATACACGAAATGTGAGCTTGTTTTTTATACCGCTGAAGAGTACAAGGGAAATATCCATTTGTGCATGTAAAATTTCGTACTGCTACTCCGTTAAGAAGTTAGAGATAGTATTACTCCACTGAAGAATAAGTGTTTAAATTCCTTCACTGTGTCACTAGGTGAATAGACTGTATTATAGATTATTAAGCATAGTAGAATTAAGGCCTATATTAATTCTATGGATTCGCTGTACAGTAAAGGCTCAATCATTTTGTGGATGAATCAACAGAAAGTTCTGATGCAATGTACTTCTGTTTGGGATTCCAGTGGTTCACAATTGGATGCAACAAATGAACTTCTAAACGTGAACTGTTCAGCCGTAGCTTTTGGACTTCATGGTGATATCCTCCTAACTGGTTGGTTTTTTTAAAGGAAGAAATAAACACGATAAATTAGCACCTAAATATTTACGTATAGTGGGAAGTGCTGAAGTGAGATGTCGTCTTGAAGTCCTAGGTTCCACTCAGAACCCCAGGGGAATGATAATAAAGTAATGTCACCGATATGAGAGTGAAAATAAATCTAGGCTATCCATTTCTCCTTAGCTAAGAGATTTGAAAATTCCCTGATGAATTTATTCATCAGTCTTTAAAATCACTTTGGTATATCTAGTTTACATTTGGAAAGTGTATTCGCTGCTTTGTCTTTATATTCTAAATGAAGCTTGCAATAGGTTGCATACACTATACGAAATATATCAGTGCTAAATTTGCATAAAAGTACATGTTACTGATTGATTGAGATGAGTAGTTGTATGCTACTCATACTCAACTAGTAGTCCTTGCTAGCCAAGCTTGAGATGATCTAAACGCTGGAAGGTCATTTCTCCTGCTTGCGACAGGATTCATCAGTGTCAGTGGTTTGACTCAGCTAAGAGAGTTGAATTATTTCAAACCACCTGGTTCCTGACTCGCTACTTCAGGGGACTGGTAACACCATAAATCAGATTCGTAATTTGCAATCTACACAGTTCGAGGAGGTGAAATTTCATCGAAGTTTCTTTCGGAAATCAAATTCTTCACACCCCAGTATGTGATCGGTTTGATACTATAAATGGTTATAAAGAAGGCAAGCATATTTTGCCAAAAAAAGTATATACTACTGATCAGATCAACACTTATGGTACCAAACAGACCACTTATATGATGATCTGAAAAATTCTGGTTTCCAAAGGAAACTGTGTTGAGATTTAACCTCCTCGAACTGTGTAGATTGCAAACTGCGTCTGGTTGACAAGTGTGATTAGGGTGAGAAACAAATCTCCGTAAAACGTAACAAAAGGCACCCGCAAGAATGATAATAAATAATAATAATAAATACTAAAGATATAAAACCTAGACTTACCAAGATAGTTTTTTTCAAGTAATTTTAAGATGGTATCCCTTTTATAATGTTGATGCTTCCTTCGTTGATCACCTTCCGGTAAACCTGCCAAGGTGGATTGCCTTTTTGAGAGGATGCTTGGCTGAATTAGCTTAGTCTATGTCAAATTACTATCAGGCGGGCTTGTCCAACCCTTTCCAAATACAAAAGTAAGGATAGCATCACTTCTCTTAGTTGTTCCCTTAATATGTGGAAAAAGTCTTTTGGGACAGGCTTGTGAGTTCCTGACTAGCTGTTATTCATGTCTTCCTACATTGGTAAACCAGAACCATACATTGATTACCGATTTGGCTGTATCTAAGACAGAAATGTTGCAACCTAGCGGAGATAGGAACATTCCACTTACTTTACAGCGGCTTGCGGAGTGTCCTAATGTGTCTAATTATCCACGGAGTAAGGTTTTTTGACTTACTAGGAACCCTCCCTTCCAAGGGATAAATTCAGATGTAACCATTCGAAGCATAATTAGTAGACAGTTCAGTATTGCATGACCAGTAAAAAGTTGAAGAACATTCCTCAATAGCTATAACATTAAATCACGAAAAATACCCATTAATTCATAAGTAAAAACACAGGGTTTTTTTGTTCAGCGAAGAAATTTCTTTTCAACGACTTCATTTTCAAGCTGCACAGTCGTATTTATATTACAAAAAATGTTATTAAGTGGCACTAAATAATTGCTCAGTCAATATGCATATATGTGATAAGAATAACGATAATTAAAATGTTATAAGGGGTAGAGTTGAAGTGGATAAATTACAAAATTATTTAAGATTGTTTTATAAGTGAATAATGAATAATAATTGATTTCAATTCACTTAATAACCTTTTCTGTAATATAAATACGACTGTACAGCTTGAAAATGAAGTCGTTGAAAAGAAATTTCTTCGCTGAACAAAAAAAAACTGTGTTTTTAGCTATAACATTAGTTTCAGAGTGAATTTGAGGATGGTTTCGGACTGAATCACAAATATTATTTTTAAATGAAAACACGATAAGGTCACTATTAAGGACAAGAGAATGAATAATTAGACTATTTATGTCACCTACATTATGCATAAGTGCTAACTAGCGCGAGGTCCACCAGGTCCACCTGCCAGTTGTCTAAAACTTGTTGAACCAGGGCATTCTTCATGAGAGCCAGAATTCTGATCACTCAATTAATCTGCTGGCAAGTTTATTAATGGATCACTTAGATGTTTTCTAGAAGAAGGCAGCTGTAGCACCTAATTTCAGATTGATTTGTTTATTGGATATAATACAATGAAACAGTGTCATTTACTGGATGATATTTCGAACACAATATATAGTTTAAAAATCATATGACTACATAACTTCGAAAATTCTCTTTTATAGTTTCTTTATTCCTCCCTATTGGTTGTAGGGGTAGTAGGACTTAACAGATGTGCAAGACAGGCGTCAAATCATATAGATTGCAAAAGCTTTCAGATAAATAAAGCTTCCTTTATCAATCTCTCCTTCCACTCTATTACATCAGATTTTAAAACTGACATCTTATCCCATCCTTTTGTATGGTTGTTTGTAAATGCATGTAGTGCTACAGCTG